GAAGTCTTGGAGGCGGCAGCCGACATGGAAGTCTTGGAGGCGGCAGCAGACGTGGGGTTCTTGGAGGCAGCAGCAGACGTGGGGTTCTCGGAGGCGGCAGCAGACGTGGGGGTCTTGGAGGCGGCAGCAAACGTGGGGGTCTTGGAGGCGGCAGCAGACGTGGTGGTCTTGGAGGTGGCAGCAGACGTGGGGTCTTCGAGGTGGTAGCTGACATAGGACCTGCCAAAGGCATGGGGGCCGTTGAAGATGTGGGTTTCGCTGAAGGCGTGGGGCTCGCTGAAGGCATGGGTCTTGCTGAATGCATGGGACTCACTGAGGATGTGGGTCTCGCAGAGGGCATGGATCTAGGAAGAGTCTCTGAAGTGGGTGTGCCAAACCTGGTACGGAACATAGTCATGAAAAGCCGCATTTGAATGTCCAGATTTACTAAGTAGCCCTCAACACTAGAGAGCCACTGTTGTGTTGGCTTAGAATTCATATTGGCCAGAATATTCTGTCAAGATTCAGGTTTTGTATTCAGAAACAGTCAGACACAAAGAGTGTGAAACGAAAGAAAACAGTTTTATTGATATTGACTGCTGCGTGGGGAGTCCTGATCCTGCGTGGGGAGTCATGATCCATCTGCGGGTACACATCTTCACAGACAGGTGGGGTTAGAGCCACCTGTCAAAGCATGAAGTGACGATGTCACCACAACTGGTGGGAAGGCAGCTGTACACAGAGGCCTTTAAAGCTGTGAACAGTGGGGCAATGCAGGGTTGTGGTCCAAAGAGCAAAGCAGGGGTCAAGTACATGGAGTTAGAGTTCCAATAATAAATCCAAGTGGTCAAACTGTAATCCAGAAGAAGTAGTCCTCACCAGGGTCAGATGGGCAGAACGGAGCAGACTAGGAGCAGGCAAAACGGTAAATCCACAAAACGGAGGTGCGAGGTCAAAATCCAAAGAACAAGGCATGAACATCAGGCATGAACAAGAACTAGATGGCTGGATAACAGACACCAAGAAAAAAGTCTGATAATCTGGCAGAAGTAGGTGGTGAGTGGAGTCCTTAAATATGGATCAGAGCAGGTGCAGTGAATCAGTCTGATGAGCTGCATTGCAGAGTGGGAGTGGCAGAGTGACAAAGCTTGAGAGCAGAGCATGACAGGGCAGAAAAATGACATGGAGAAGCAGAAACAAAACATGAAGGGCTGTGAGTGAGGCAGGGGACAGAGGATGTGATCATGACAAAAGAGATCTTAAGCAGAGTACTTTTTCAGCAGTCTCACTATCAACATGTTATATTCATAGTACCTAGAGTGACTTTTTTTCATATTTCAGCTTCAAATTTCTTAACTATAATATTTCCTGTGGTCGAAACGCTCTCTAATAGTGTATGTCTGTATTATTACAGCAACTAAAAAGTATAATTTAAAGTTCATTTGGTTCAGATTCTGTTATCAATCTAAATTACCGGGTCAATAGGAACTTTGAAGGAATATTACGAGTTATTTGTCTCTAACCTGGATTAAACAGGGTTAGGAACTTAATGCAAGCGAACTCTTGACGATCCACCATCAATAGTCGAAGCTTCTCCTCAAATTCTTTTCCTCTTTGGGTCAGTCGGATTAAAGCAGGGTCAGCATGGGACATAATCTTTGACATCTCCACCTAAAATGAAGAAAGCACAAGCTGATGACAAGACGGTCATCTGTCCTTCTGGCCTGTGCTTTTTGCATCTTTATAAGGATCTTTTTATTAAAATTAAATTAACTTTTGTTTAGGTTGATCTTTAAACTATATTTTTTTCTTAAAAGGAAAATAAACAGTGAAGATCACAGACTAATATACTGTACAAGACAGCATGTAAATACATAAATAAATATAAACTCGCTGACTGACAAATCGAGTTAAGCACCCAGAAAATTTTTCAATTTGGATGGGTCTGCAGCAATCATTGTGATTTGTCAGTTTTCTGTTCAAAAGACAAGAAGAAGACACAAATACAGAGGATTTCTCACCAACAATATGCCACACTCCTTGTGTCTTTGGGGTTCCTGAGTGATAATATTAATAGCAGCAAGAATCATCATGCAGCATTTCCTCAAAACAAGTGTCCGTGCTCTTGTATTTTTCTTCTGCTTGTGGCTTGACCCAGTCTTTTTGTCTGTCATATCTTTAGACAGAATGGACGTGCACTACAGCATGCAATCACAGAAATCTGGTTTGCATATGTTCATCAGGTGCAATGGCAGAGTAGAAGCAGAAGACATGAACAACTACCGGTATGTTTCATTTTAAAACATCACAGATTCTTCTTTGTTTAAACAAGAAGAATCCATCCAGAGGACCTTACTCAACCCTCTTAGATACCTGGACATACTTTGAGCAGGCTATTTTTTAGAAAGGATGGAGAAGCTGAGATGACTCACCTGGTGTCCAGTGACCAGAAGCAGACTGTCTTCTTTACCATAAAGAACTTGTCTAGAGACAATGTCCAGAACCAAGAGTTCACTCCAGCAGTAGTGCAGCAGCTTCATTTGGTCACTGACCTTGAGACGCAAAAGGAAGAATTAACATCCTTTTTTTAATTCTTTATGATATATGTGCAGTTGTTGCATTCAGTCTAAACAGTCACAATGTCTTGAACTGCACATTTTGTTGCAGACACCTGGGAAGGAAGCCCTCCCAAACAGGTACAGCTAATAAACCCCAAGTCTCTTTTAACTGTATACGAGTACTTTAGAGCCAGAACAACAACCGTAATATGGATTTTACCTTGAGTTGCTTGAAGAAGATGGACATGCGTGCCCACTCTACAATGGAGCACAGCAGCTGATCAGCCAAAACATACACTGGGCTGACGCTGTTTGGGTTTTTCTCACAGCTGGTTTGCTCCTGCTGGAGGTGAGCTGTGATTTTCTTCTGCAGCTGCAGCTCATCTGAATCACAGCGCAGGAACTCCATGACAAGCTGGGGCATCTTTGGACCTGGACTAATGACACATCTTGAGTACGACTCATGAGGATTGGTGAGAATTCCTGCAGCAAAGTTGGGTGAATCCACACAGCTGTTGCTGCGCTGCGACTTGACGGTCCAGTTAGAGGAGGTACACTGGTACTGGCTGAGACCAGGTGAGCCAGACGACCAGAACCAAGACATTGATGAAGGTTGGTCTGTGTGCAAAATAGTAACTGAGTGGATGTTTTCAGTGAAGGTGATGTCTTTCTGGTGAGTGGAGGAGGTTAGAGCGGGGCTGCTGTCCAGTCTGAATCTCCCTGCTTGCATCAAAGCCTTTCTCTGCTGCTTGAGGGCCCGATCACGCCTGTACATGGGGCCAAACTTGTTTCTGCCGCCTCTCATACGATCAGCTCGAACCGCTGTTCAGAAAAGTTCATCTGTTAGTAACAATCAAGATGAGAGGACAATGTGACTGACACCTACAGTATCTTCCTGACACTCCCTGTCCATCCTAAATGGTTTTAACAGGGTGTTAGTGAGGTGATGGAAGCAGGTCAGCTTCCTTCCCTCTTTATGTTGCTCAAGCAGTCGCTCAGACTTTGTGTTGTGAACGACTCTGAGCTGCAACTCTTCAAAATGTTAACTCAATGGCGGAAAATGTTGTTTTCTAAGTGGCAGCAAACTTGAGTTTATTTTAAAAGTTAATCAGTTGTAGATGTGCATATATTTTTTTTCTGAGAGTTTAAACAAATACCATCCACTGGTTTATGAGATATTTTGCTAACACAATATACAAATGAGCACATTCACACAGACATAAGCAAAAGTCAAGTCAAGCCTTTGGGAAAAATACTAAAACATGTTTAATTTTTAATTAATTAATGTCTGAATCCAACAGTTATCTGAAAGAAAACTATCAAAATATTTAGAGATTTTAAAAATGACCAAAATGCTGAGCTGTTAGGCAACATAACTTTGTCATATTTGGGATTTTTGTTGCACCAAATAATGAAAATCCTCTAAAAAGGGAAGAAATTACACTTGAATTAATTTGTAAATGCAACCTTCTCTCTCTCTTGTTGTTTTTGCATAATTGTTTTATTCTTTTTCATGCTCTCGTTCATTTAAAAAAACAATTTGCAAACATAAATGACAAAGGTCAAATAAAGACTTCTGCAATAAATTCAAATAGTTTTTAGAGATTCTTTTTTTTAAACTTTCCATTATAAATAAATGGTAAAATTAAATATCTATTGTACAGCACATGAAGGTGGATGTGCTGACGATGAAACCCTCTTCCTTACCTTCCAGCTTCATGCCAACATGAAGGCACTTCTGAAATCTGCAGAAAGGACAGCGTTTCCTCTGAGTTTTATCAATACTGCAGAGCTGGTTGTCATTGCAGGTGTACGTCTTGTTGTTTTGCACCGTTCTTTTAAAAAATCCCTGCAAAGACAGACAACCCTAGATGAACGAGGCTGTTTTATTGTCCCTGTCTCTCAGTAATGAAGTGTCTCTGGCACAAAGCCATCTTTTCACCGTACCTTGCAGCTTTCACAGGTGAGAACGCCGTAGTGGTATCCAGACACTTTGTCTCCACATACTGGACACGTCTCCTCCAAATCCACATCACATCTGTGCTGCATTCTTTTCACGAGACCAGAAAAACAAACCCAACAGAAGGAGAACAGAACAGTTGTTAAATGACCCCAAGTTTGTCCAGAAAAAATAAAAAAATTACTCTGTAGCAGAAAGTCCAAGAGGAGTCCACCTGTGGAGTCAGTGCTCGACTGTGCTGGTTGAGTCAACCTGAACCTCAGCAGGTGTTACTCCTGTTGGACATCCCACCCTGTGGAGGAGGGACCCTCTCTGTGGTTCTGATCCACCAGTTTCACTCCTCTTCTTCTGGACCACATTGATTTGACTGTGGCTGGTTTGTAGTTTTAACCCCCCTCCTTTTTAAATCATAAGGGAAAGGTCCTGAAATGTTTAAGTGTATCCAAACCAGACAGACGGGGAACACTCTCACACAGAAACAAACGTGCAGTCACAAACAAACCGGGCTCTCTTTGTCTCGTTATGAACAAACTTTCTGTCTGAAGTACATGTATATGGCTGATTTTATGTCACCTGTTCCTTTTGGAGCTCAGAAATTTAAAGTCTGACTCTAAAAAACACGTCACAGTTGTGGGTTTTTTCAACACAACTTTAGAAACCACCACATAATGGATTTAATTATTCTGATAAGAATTGTTCAGGTGGACTTAATCGTCTGATGAAGACTCTTCATGAAGGAGAGCTGTAGTCCTGGTGATCATGTCCTTACACTTGTGTGTTTTATTTTTAGTCTACTCACTAATGTATATAAAATGTCTGGCCTTAACTGCTAAATTTGCTAAAGGAAAATATAATTATGCCATATGCCATAGGGTAACATGACGCCCGTGTACATGACTTGCAATCCACCTCTGCTGATGGTGTTCGGATTATTTGTGTTTTGTTCGTTTTTTATCTGGGACATAAACTCGCTGCTGGTGTATGGCCGACAACAGCTTCTGGATCTTCGATTTTCTGCCGCCGATGTTGCTTATTTGGACCAATATGAGCGTACCTCTGGACACCCCCCCCCTTCCCCCGCTGCTGGCGAACGTGCCTGTTTACCTTGGCTGGGCTCCTCACCTGCCTGCCCGGAGACATCGCTACAGACGCCGGGGAAAACGTGCTGGGCGGCTGGTAAAGCTTAAAGCCCTGCGCGCTGCATCTTCCTCTCCAGCTGGTTGTCATGGTTTCCATCGCCAGCTTCCCGCGTGCCCGGACCAGGTAAACAACGGGAGTTGTCGGCGGGTGCGGCGCACAGGCCAACCCGGAGGGGCTGTTATTGAAAACCTGCGGCCATTGGCGCGCTCTAACTCCACCGCTGCTGGCTCCACTTTGGACAGTATCCGTATGTGTTTGGTCAATGCAAGATCTATTACTAACAAAACTTTTGTCCTCAGAGACTACTTTCAAGAGCATGAGTTGGACTTTCTCTATCACAGAGACTTTGATGTCTCTGGGTGAGTCCAGCGCCTTGACGGATTTACTGCCACCAAACAGTCTGTATTTTAACGCACCGCGGCCATCAGGCCGGCAAGGTGGTGGATTATTAACAATATTCAAACCAACTTTTGACTGTAAACAACTGCCCATCCCAGTTTCCCGTGCCAGCTTTGAGCTGAGCGTCTTTGAACTCGGCCATTCGCCTTCGACTTTATGTAGGCTCGTCTACCGCCCACCTCGGTCTAAGGATTTCATAAATGAGTTTTCTGATTTCTTGGCTGAAATAACACCAAAATATGATCATGTTTTCATTATTGGGGACTTTAGTTTGCACGTGTGCTGTCAGGAGAAGCCCTTGGTTAAGGACTTTTTAGATTTATTGGACTCATTTAATTTAACTCAGCATGTAAACGGTCCCACCCAAGAGCGTGGACATACACTGGACCTTGTTTTAACTCGTGATGTGACTGTTAGTAATCTTGAAATTGGTGATAATGTTTTTTCAGACCACATGCCAGTCCGGTTTGAGTTCACCCTCCCCCATCTAACTCCTAAGCCGTGCGTTCCTGCACGTAGTAGCCGGGCCATTAACCACTTCACTGCCGCACGTTTCACAGATGCTTATAACTCTGAAATGATCATTCAGCCCCTGGTGTTTCTCACCACCACTGAGGAGCTGACATCCCAGTTCAACTGGTGATTGGTAACTCTAAATTGTCCCTAGGTGTGAGTGAGAGAGTGAAT